GTATCCACGGGCCGAAGGTGTAGCATTGTGCGAGGGAGGGGAGGAGAGGGGGGGGTCGGTCTCTCTCTCTCTCTCTCTCTCGATGCGGTGCCCAGCCCACGTGCAACGCCAACACGCGACGCGAACCTCCAAGAGGTGAGTCCTCTTCTTTGGAATTTCACCGCTCCGGGAATACGGAGACGGCCAGGTAAAAGCCTCTCGAGTCACGTGGTTGGTGCTGCTCTCTCTCTCTCTCTTTCTCTGTGTGTAAGGTACTGTGTGTAACTGGATTCGACGAAACGGAAGAATCGGGGATCGCGGAGGAACGGCCGACTTTCTATGGGTGTAAAAGGTGATCGTGTTTGGCGAGGGATGAAAGGCGAGGCTTAGACACAGTGGAAAGTGGGGGTTTGGGTTTTTAACCTGTCCGCTGATTTATGCATTCATTTAAATGTCTTTCGTAAATGACGGTTTACTTGTTGTATTCCGATTTTTCTTTTTCTTTTTCTTTTTGTGACGTAACGGTATAATAACTTAATTTGCGCGGGATAAAAATGAGAAATGTACATATAATTTGTTGGATGAATTGTGTAAAAAGGTTGCCATCTTGAAAATACCCTTTGTCCGAATTTCCTGTAAATTGCGTGCAGCGCTACGAAAATCTGTATCTTTATGTACACCATCCATTCATAAAGTAAACTACTTTCTTCGACGCTATCCTAACCTCAAATCGTAGAACATGGATCCAGCCACATCATTATCAAGAAAGTTGTCCGAATTCATCTTTATTTATTGAAACACTATCATTAAAACACTTCAACTCATTTTAACTGTCGATGTTGTTGATCCAATAGATTTCTTATCACGAGTTCAAGTTCTTTTTAAAAACTTACATATATTATGATTTTATCATAATACCTACGTTTGTTACCGATATAATGGAATTAAATTAAAAATAACTGATAATTCTAATAACTTTCATACTTTAGACTTACACTTTCCTCAATCGTATCACACATCAATCGCTCAATAACCTAACCTATTAGCACGATTCTCGAAAATTCCAACGTTTCTTCAACTATATATTACATTCACTCAAAAAACTAATCCCAAAGTTATTAAAAATTCCAATTCAAAATTCAAATTTCCAAAACCTAAAAATCTTTAATAACGTTTACAAGTAGAACATCATAATTCCTTCTACTCTTTTTCAAAAAAAAAAAAAACAATTCTAAGCCGATGCACACACAACGGAGAGATCAACTCGGCCGGTATATCACGTTCAAAGCTGAAACCCAAATTTATCTCCTCCGGCTTGTTGCGAGCTTGAAGGAGAGGATCCCTTGCCGATTATCATCGGGCAAACGTCCTAACGGATTATTACGAAACGTGGAGGGTATTGCAGGGTGGGGAGGAAGGGTTCCTCGGAGGAAAAGTGGCCGTTTGCATCTCGATTATCTCGCGCGATACACGATGGAAGGACCGGCTTGACATCTTTCTTCTCCGCTTCCTCTTCACCTTCACCTCCGCCACGTCTTTTCGCGGAGGTTAATGCGGCCGAATGCCGGTGTCCACGCGAGCCCCCGCGTGCCCGTGAACGCCCACGGCATCTCATATCTTACGGATGAAGACATTTACGACAATCCTCGCACGGGCCACCCCACCCACTCCCTCTCTCCCGTCCCGTGGACAAAGACCTATGATGTCACTCTTCCTCCCCCCTCCCCCCATTCCTTTCTTCCTTATCCTTCTCCCTTACTTTATTGGCGGGAATTTTGTCGTTTCTTTTCGATTCCGGACATGAGAGGGTGGGTGTGGGTCGTATCAAAGTTTGCTCTCTGTCCTTCTGGGGGAAGAAAGGAATTTGTCGACTTCGCAACGGATCGAAACGAGCGATTGTTATTCAAGCAAGGATATACCACTTTTCGTTCGTTTGGTTCGTTTTAGAATTTTAGAATCGAAGAAATGAAGAGATGGAGGATGAATACGAAGATGAAGAGAATGAAGAGTATATTGTTCCTAATTTTCGACACGAATCTACGGAATCACGAGGCGTCACAAAAAAATTGGCCAAGAGGAACGTGGAATCGAAATTAGGATTTAAGAATTTTAGAATCGAAGAAATGAAGAGAATTCTACGAGAAGAAAATGAAGAGTATATTGTTCCTAGCTTTCGAATCACGAGGCATCTCAGAAAGATTGGCCAAGAAGAAGCAACGTGGAATCGAACTTAAGATTTTAGAATCGAAGAAATGAAGAGATGGAGGATGAATACGAAGATGAAGAGAATTCTATGAGAAGAAAATGACGAGTATATTGTTCCTAGTTTTCGACACGAATCACGAGGCATCTCAGAAAGATTGGCCAAGAGGAAGCAACGTGGAATCGAAATTAAGATAACAATGAGAGGAAACTCGTGTTCGTGCCCGTATTTTTATCGTTCCATCGCCGCAGAGGCCCTCTCCCGATAATAAAGCAAAAGAAAGCAGCGTTGAATTTTGCGAAATGAATGTGATTCGCGGGCGATACTTTCACTGGGCATGCAGCACACAATAAGTAATAAATGCCATGCACATAATGAAACAGATAATGTATCAAAAGCTGATCAACGATTCTGACGCAAGCCGCCTTTTTCGGGAATAGTAAAAATATGAAATACTCCTCGCCTAGCTTTCTAATATGTTAATAACGAGCCGAGCGTCACGACGCTGGTATTAAGCGTTTCACGATCGAATAATCAAGTCTTGACTCTCGCCGAATTAAAGGATACACGATTTTACAAGTCTTAAGTATTCACATATATTCGTTTGGTGTCCGGATTGTGACGGATCTTCTTAATAACCTCACTGTTTTTTTTTTTCTTTTTGGGCAAAGCTGAAGTTAAATCTAATCCTGCATCGATTTTGGAATAAATGAAATGTCCTGTAAAACGACTGGCGCTTCCTAATCGCGTTTCAAGGAAATAATTAATCGACTTACAAACGAACTCTTCTCGCAATGATAAAATTCCTCGAACAAATCCAATAAAAAAAAAAAAAACTTTAAAAACGAGCCGATATAATTCCTAATCTAAAATTTGGAAGAAAAGGAAAAAGCCATAAGTTTAACAAGCGAACAATCTGTAGCTACGAAATTCCACGCTGATCGAAACAAGAGAAACAAGGTGGTCAGTAAGAGCAAACCCCGGCCAGAACAATGTCGCTAGAATGTACGCCTCGACCCCGAACTCGACTCGAGATCTCGTTCACACGGCGCAACCTTGCAGCCCGCGCTCGAAGGATTTGCATTTTACAAAAAGGACCCGGCCGGCTATTCTATCGGTTGGCAACGGTAGAATAAGCCGAGCATCGTGGTCTATGAAGCAGGAGGAGGACGACGACTGGTCCAGAGCGCGTGTTCACGGAGGAGCACTCGTGTGTGTATGTGTGTGTGTATGTGTGTGCTCTCCTCCTCCAGGATCGAGAGACGTTACTTATTTACGCAGGCTGCATTGTGGGGAACAATTGCGTAGGCCAACTCATTAAATCTTTGACCTTTGTGTAATTACGCCTAGAGGTCGGCTAGGTCGACCTCTCGGCTGACAAGTCGAAAGAAAATGAATTGCGACACGCGTGACTCGCTTTTTTTTCCTCTTTTTTCTTTTTTCTCCGTCCCGAATGAACGAAGGCGGACGCTGCCTACCTCCAGTTTAACGAATGATTCAGAGATTCTTTCGGGATGGTGAATTTGAGATAATCTGTGTTATTAGGTTTTCGTTCGACACCTTTATTGCGGGGAAATTTTAAGTTGAAAGCGGTTAAGTTATCTTTTGGAAGGGTTATTATTGAAGGAATTGTGTGTGATAAATATAGTTTCTCGATAGGATTTATCGTCGATCTATTAAGTGATTTCGGATTATTTTTGAATCTCTTTTAAATAAACATTGTTGATCTATAGTAATTTATTAACACTGTTACGTAGATACTTTTTTCAAACGTGAATTATTGCGAAAATTTTGAGGTTAGATGTGTTTTAATATGTTCGATAATTTCTTCAACTCTAGGAAACACGCGTGATACGATATTCAGTTTATGCCTGAAATTTCTGTTTTTAATTTTCTTTAAAATATTACCCATTTCTATTACTATTTGATACCACTTCTGTTCAGATGTAACTAATAGAAACGTCTATAACCTTTCGATCGAAAAGTGTTGCAAGCGATAGATGAAATCAATCAAAACCATTAAGTAAGTCTTCTAATGCACCCTAACTACTCTCACATGAAGTAATCGATATCTGAAGTATGTGTAATATTTCATAATTGTGGAAGATGACACGTATGCAACAACATATGCAAAAAATAAAATTTTATTGGCAATTCATCACTATACTCTTAAATTTTCCGTAAAATCCAAAACTTTCTCATCCACAATCACGATACACGATATCACACAGAAAATAAATTGCACAACGTTTCATACCCATTTCATTCTTCCTCGGATCAAACACGCCAGATTAAACAAACAACGACGCGAAAACCACCTCAATTTCCCCAACGAATTGGTTATGGCAATCCACACACGCCCACACGCCAGCGCCATCAGCGTCCATTTTAATAACGATATCGGCCTAGGGAAAAAATTCCACAGAGGAGGAGAACTCGAAAGGGCAAAGGCGAATCCTTTCCTTCCTTCTACTCTATCTCGAACTAAGCAAAATCAGGTATAGGTTGGCGCACGGTTGGCTATTCAGTGGATATGCAATGGAGTGCGGATTAGGCCGTTTCGTGGAACGTGCTCGAGCGTTGCTTCTCTCGCAGCACGTCGCAAAAGTCAGAGGTGACGTGTCACCGAAGGTGACGACTATTCCACGCCGATGTGTGTTGTGCAACAATGGCAAAGTAACGGCTGCCGTTGCACGCGAACCGACGACCCAACGATCTCGTCGTCCACGTTTTTCCTGTTTACTCGCGATGATACCACGAGAACACGTATGCCTTGCTCGCGGTATTCGATATTGCGAAATGTTGTTCTAATCTGTTTCTTCTGTTGTTCAGATAATTTTATTCTACGAGAAAGGAAGGGAGAGAATGTTTACAAATTTGCAAATAAATATATATATATAGAGAATTTTCATTGACAATCAATTGATTCTAGAGATCAAAATAAGCATAGAAATTGATACGAAGAAATTTCGATAGAGTTTATTGTTTATTGAGTTATATTTGTTTTGGTTAAAGTTTAGGTTAAATGAAAAGAGACGGTGATAGAGAGAGACAGTTTTATGTTACATTGTCGCGCCACAGCGCGGCGCGCTATGTCATTTTATCTCGCTTCGTCTCACGTAAATTCCAATTGTTCACAATTTAACGAGTATTAATTGATACCTTGTATCTTTTAAATATGTATTTTATTTAAAGATAATAAGATTTTGTATATCGTATCGTTTTAAACACGTAAAATCATGATTTATCGGATCAAAAGTCCACTGTTCGACAGTTTAATCCGACATAATAATGATAATTTTTAATATATATATTAAAGCGTTTGATTTAAATCACGTAACGAAAAAAATAGAGAATATGAAAATATAAAGTATAAAAAAATAATTCTATTAAAATAGCATACAATTATCGCGTATTTAATTCGGCGTAAATTTAATTCAATGTTCTAATTAATTACTTATCGTTAATAACACGTTTCGATTAAATGTGAAAAGCTACTGAAAGTAGATTGGAAAGTTCCACGCGAATTTTAGAAAACAGCCGCTTGTCACTCGAAGCAACAACCTGTTACGAAATTAGCACGTTTCTCATAATTATTGCTATTAGTGTTATTAGTTATGTTTTAATAACGTCGACCACTTCGGTCATTAAGTTTCCTCTTGATTCATTTTGGTTACACAACATCACTATTAAATCGTGCACAAGAAATTAAATAAAGTTGCAACTTTCGTTTACGAGCGAACAAAATGGTATAATTATCGAAAGGAATAGATAAGATTGCGTATCTTCTATTATAGCGAAGCTTTAATTAAGTCATAAAGATTACCAAATTTATAGTCCAGTAATGTAAACATAGTTGTACGTTAATTTAAAATTACTTTCACAACTCCTCACTTTATATCCAACATATTTTTAACATATTTCATTGTTATTATTATTATTACCGTTCGTTCATTCATTCCTTTCCCCTTTACATCTTTCATTCAAAAATCACCGCTTTTACAATCTTTACATGCTAAATTCACAATTTTAATTAACTCGATAAAGAAATTTTATTTTCATCTTCGAAATAAATCGTTAATCTTCATCCCAATCATCGATCAAGAGATATTTCTTCTTTCGTTATCGAAGAACTTAGACAGTGACATTAAATTTGGATTAAACCATTTCTTTATCGTCATCAAATATTATCACCAACGTAACAATCGATAATATAACATTTTCCTAAAAACCTTCCAACTCCTCGAATTAAAAATCAAACTGTATCCACGTATCATTCCAATCCATCCATATCTCGAAACCTCCCCCCTTTTATTATTCATTAAATAATAAAAAAATATTACACGCGACAGTATCTAGTAGCAAGCGTAACGTCCACGCGTAGTCCTAGGTTGAGAACCTCTGACCTCCATAGAACGAGCACGAGGCGGACCGGTTCGGGTCACGGAGGATTCTTCAATCCGAGCTCGTGCTCTTCCCCAAGCTACGAACGAACGAAAAGGACGCGACCCTCCCTCTTCTGCCTCCCCTTCGCGTGACACGCGCGCTCCGTGCGTGCGCCTTCTTCCTCAGCTTCTTCGGGGAAGATTGAAAAACGACGCGACAGATAGAGAGAGAGAGAGAGGAGGGAGGGATCGATCGGAGAGGAAAAAGAAGGATAAGAAGACTGGGGAGGCGAGGAAAAAGGGGAAACGATATCGTCGATCGATGTCCTCCTGAATGTCGAGCCGAGAGGAGATTTGAGCGGGGCGATAGCGGTGTGTCGTCCCGCAGGACTCGTGTCCTGCCTTCCATAACCTGACACGCGGTCCGGATCGCGAGAAGACGCCTTGTAAAATGATATTAAAGGATTAGTGTCTGCTCTCGCCGGGACGAGTCGTAGGCCTTGAAGAGATTTCGATCCGGTTCCGCGATGCTGGCCGATCGTCGTGCGAATCAATGATGAAGATCGATGGATCCGCTCGCTTTCGGAATGGAGGATGGGTTGTGCGCTTCTTGGATTTGTAGTTTTACCCAAAATGAGCAAATTTTCGATTCGATCTTTTAACAGTAGAATTTAGTCACGCGAATATTTTGATTGTAGTAAATAAAATAGTAGAAACAAGTTGATTTGGCTTTCATTCAGTTCGATTGCAATCCAAAATATATGAAGAAACGTCAAAAATATCGTTCAAATTGATTCAATCTTCTAGCAGTAGTATTTGATGGTTGTAATTAATAGTTTCATGAAAAAATATAAAAAATATCGTACAACGTATCAAATTGATTCAATCTTTCAGTAGTAGAATTTAGTTAGTGTCTGGTTACACGAATAGTTTAGCTGTAGTTAACAGTAGAAACAAGTTCTGATTTGTTCATTCAGTTCAATTGCAATCCAAAATATATAAAGAAACGTCAAAAAAATCGTTCAAATTGATTCAATCTTCCAGCAAAAGAATTTAGTTAATATCCGATTACACGAATACTTTGACGATATCACAAATTCCAATTTGTTCGTCGAGTTCGTTCGATTGGAATCCAAAATATACGAAGGGAAACAAAAACAAAAAATACCAAATTCAATACATCGAAATTACACTATACAACAATTTTGAAACAAGGGCCAATCTTACGAAATTTCAATTGTAATAAAATATATTCCACGAATCTTTCAGAACATTGAAAATGGTCGAAAAATGAAAACGTCTTATCAATCATCGATAATGAGGCTACAACTCGAACGCGACAGATAGAGAGAGAGAGAGAGAGGAGGGGGGATCGATCGGAGAGGAAAAAAGAAGGATAAGAAGACTGGGGAGGCGAGGAAAAAGGGGAAACGATATCGTCGATCGATGTCCTCCTGAATGTCGAGCCGAGAGGAGATTTGAGCGGGGCGATAGCGGTGTGTCGTCCCGCAGGACTCGTGTCCTGCCTTCCATAACCTGACACGCGGTCCGGATCGCGAGAAGACGCCTTGTAAAATGATATTAAAGGATTAGTGTCTGCTCTCGCCGGGACGAGTCGTAGGCCTTGAAGAGATTTCGATCCGGTTCCGCGATGCTGGCCGATCGTCGTGCGAATCAATGATGAAGATCGATGGATCCGCTCGCTTTCGGAATGGAGGATGGGTTGTGCGCTTCTTGGATTTGTAGTTTTACCCAAAATGAGCAAATTTTCGATTCGATCTTTTAACAGTAGAATTTAGTCACGCGAATATTTTGATTGTAGTAAATAAAATAGTAGAAACAAGTTGATTTGGCTTTCATTCAGTTCGATTGCAATCCAAAATATATGAAGAAACGTCAAAAATATCGTTCAAATTGATTCAATCTTCTAGCAGTAGTATTTGATGGTTGTAATTAATAGTTTCATGAAAAAATATAAAAAATATCGTACAACGTATCAAATTGATTCAATCTTTCAGTAGTAGAATTTAGTTAGTGTCTGGTTACACGAATAGTTTAGCTGTAGTTAACAGTAGAAACAAGTTCTGATTTGTTCATTCAGTTCAATTGCAATCCAAAATATATAAAGAAACGTCAAAAAAATCGTTCAAATTGATTCAATCTTCCAGCAAAAGAATTTAGTTAATATCCGATTACACGAATACTTTGACGATATCACAAATTCCAATTTGTTCGTCGAGTTCGTTCGATTGGAATCCAAAATATACGAAGGGAAACAAAAACAAAAAATACCAAATTCAATACATCGAAATTACACTATACAACAATTTTGAAACAAGGGCCAATCTTACGAAATTTCAATTGTAATAAAATATATTCCACGAATCTTTCAGAACATTGAAAATGGTCGAAAAATGAAAACGTCTTATCAATCATCGATAATGAGGCTACAACTCGAGTCCACTGCTAAATAAGATATCTCGCCGCAATTTGTACGCCAATCAAAGGCAAAAAGACATTAAATCCATCCATCCTCCACCATCCTTCCGTTCCATCATCCACGATCTCTGTGCCCACGTAAGACCAGCACCCGTATCATCCAAAAAGATCCCCCTCCCTCCCTCCAACCCCTGTTTCGCCCCAGGGCCGATCGTTAAACTGATTTCGAGAGCGTGGAGATCGTTGGCCGTTGGTCCACGTCCAGCCCACATAGAAGAGGCCCCCGAGCGGCCCAGCCTTCTCTTTCTTTTCGAGCGAGGTCGCGTGACCCCGAAGCGTAGACGCGACCGCAGGCTTCCAGGTTCACAACCAGTGAAGCCAGCCGCGAGCACACGCACACAACCCACACCTGCGCGCCCGTGCACGTGATGGAACATGCGTGTGGACGCCTCGTAAGGCGATGGAATGCGCCGGTCTCCCGGTTTCTTCTCGGATGGATGGCTTTGTCTTCGTGATCTGACGTCTCGCTCTGAAAGCCACTCGCCCGCGAACGCGCCTCTTCATCGCTGGGACAACACCGATCCTCCACCTCCCCATTTCCCTCTCCCCCTAATCTCCTCTAATTCCGCTCTTGCCTCTCCTTGCCTGGCGTGATCCGAAATGATCGATTTAGGTTAGTAACTCGCGTTACTTTTTCAAGCATTTGATTGATTCGAGTCTTGGTAGGTGGGAATTCTAATCTCAAGATAGGATTTTTAAAGAGGAATGCAATATTATTCTAAAAAATTTTAGATTAAACACGTTGTTTTAGATTCCTATGAGAATTGATCGTGTGAAGTCTTACTTAAGATTTTGTCTTTTACCTTTGGTTTGAATTGCTACCCTAAAGTTCAGATATTAGTTAAGTTTTAGATCGTGGAATGATCCGAATGATCCGAAATGATCGATTTAGGTTAACTCGCGTTACTTTTTCAAGCATTTGATTAATTCGAGTCTTGGTAGGTGGGAATTCTAGTCTCGAGATAGGATTTTTAAAGAGGAATGCAATATTATTCTAAAAAATTTTAGATTAAACACGTTATTAGTCTCACTTAAGATTTTGTCTTTCACCTTTGATTTGAATTGCTACCCTAAAGTTTAGATATTAGTTAAGTTTTAGATCGTGGAATTGGAATGAACTAGGAACGTTGAATTTTGGTAAAAATGGTAAAAGGCGCTTGTGTGGCTGAACTTTGGATCGGATTGTTAGGTTAGGTTGGTGAAGGATGCGCATAGTTGTTGGTTGACTGATGATGCAGTCTTACTTGCATGACTTTGTATGGTATCGTTAGTGAATCCCTCTTTTGGAATGTTGATTTAGGTACATAGTTATACCGTTTTGGTACGAACATTTATATATTCTTTTTACGAGATCGTGGAAGTGGAATGAGTAGTAAGCTAGGTTCTGTTACTCGTGTTCATGAATGATTAGAGAGACTTCAGTTTAAATTGGTTTGTCGATGGTCAGATAGCTTGATAAAGGACATTCATGGGTCGAGCGACAGCGAAGTCTCTCTTGGATGACTCTATAATACTTCGTTGGAGAATTTCTCTTTCAATATGTGGGGAATATTAGTATTGGTTGTTATAATAGATTGGGCTTATAAGTATTGATTATGACCGTGCAACTATTCCCCTGTTCGATGGAATTGAGGAAATGGATTGTCATTGTGATATTTTGATATAATAATTCTTTGTTAATTTAAAAAAAAAAAAAGAATGTAATAGAGAAATAATTTAATTATCTAATTAAATGAAAGCGAAAAGTATTAAAAAAGTTTAAAATTATTCGAAATAATTCTACCTGCGTTTATCATTGATCCTGAACAATTTATCGGTTGTAATAATCTCTGCTTAAATCTCGCGTTCACGTAATGCATAAAACTCATTAACCCACGGGGTCAATCGTCTATAATGGCCTGTTAGAAAGTCCACGACAAAATACATTGACATGAATATGCAACAGTGAAGCACATAGAATTTCAATGAAACTTTTTTGATCGACGATGAGAAAACGATGTGATGCTGCGAAACAAAATTACGAGTGGAAAACCACAAAACACATTTTTCCATGGTAATTTTAAAACGAATGATTGGATAACACGTTTTCATCTCTTGGAAAAAGTTTCATAAGTTATCGGTAGTAATAATGGTATTGGATTAGTAGAGAAATAGAGAACAAAAACTATTTGTGATTTACAATTGATTCAGAAATTTTTTGTGTTAATAATCGTGTACGAATTTTTTTTTTGGAAAATAAATAAATAAATAAATACGAGCATTCGATATATTCAACCACTAAAATTGAATATTGATAAAGCAAAAAAGCGAGTGGAAATTAATTTTTTTCCAATGATTAAGAAAAAAAAAAACAGTAAAATTGTATAGAAGGATACAGAAAATTAAATGTATTCCGACATATCGCAAATATTAAAATAAATCTTTGGAATCGCTTCCAGCCTCCGAATCGATGTAAATTTTCAGCACCGTCGCGTTGATTTAATTATACGACTATCGGCATTCGATTGTAATGTCATCAATATTCAATAATTTATAATGTCAAGTTGGGCCTTGGGCAATATGGAAATGTAATTATGATAATGACCGCCTGGACACAATATTTTGTCGTGAGTGCTCCACGTGTGATAATATTGGATTCGATGTTAAAATTGTAGGAAATATTAATTATAATATTATTACGCTCGTCTTCCTTTCTTTTTCGTTATTTTCCATTTCATTTGTGATGTAAAAAAAAAAAAAGAAAAAAGTGCAAGTACACGTATGTATGCATTTTTAGCATTTCTTTTTTAGTGTATGTACAAAACTCATCCTTCTCTGCCATGGTAACAGAAGCGCAAATACTGCTAATTGAGTGTAACTGACAAGACTGTTGAAAAAAAATAGAGATTCGAGGAACGTGAATGTTTCAAATTAACCGGGTGACGACAGTGAACTCCGTGTGCAGAATATAATAATAACTCGTATGTTCACAGAGGGGGGACACAACTCTGGTAAAGCTGTTAACAAATCTGCACTTTACTTTCCATGTTCTGATATATTATACAAGAAACAAAACGTAATCGTTCGACATATAAATATACGGTATAACACTTTCTCGATAATTATTTCTTAGTTAATCTCTTCTATATTTGAATTGCAACACGAGAAAGATATAATTTTTTACGAAACTTTTATCTTACTTCTTATTTTTACAGAATACAATTCCCATTGAATATTGTTCGACAATATCGCAATATTCCTCTACCGTCCTCTACCGCTTCAGTTTCACCAACATCATCAATCCACCATGACCGGCTGTCATCAAGAGGCGATCAACCTCAAAACGGCCATTTTGCAAAAGCAGAAAGAGGCAACGACGACGAAAATTGATCGATCCTCCGCGTATCCAGTGGCCGTGCACCGTGTCCGGCCGGGGTAATTAATGAATCGTTCGCACCTCGCCCACGCTATTTGTCTCCTCTTTCTTCGGGGAAGAGTTTAGAGCGAACTCTTCCACCTGATGCAGCTCGTGAGGAAATCGGTCGATAATTAATCACCCAGTGGCGACCACCGGTGTGTCGGTGATCCATTAACCGACCGATCGTCCCCTTTTTACACCGCGCTTCCGAGTTTGGCGGAAAGGCCTCCATCTCGCGGCCGAATCATTTGTTCTCGCGTGCACCAACCTCGAATTGGCCGGTTGAATTGTAATGGAAATCGAAGGCGTGAATGGAATTGCTGATTTTCGAACAGGGAGTCTGTTTTGCAACGCAAGGATGTATTTGCGAATAAAGAGATTTGTATTTTATAGGTTAGGTTTTCGATGAATCGCACAACAGGAATTTAAGGCCGAGATATTTAAATCGAGCATTGCAAGTATATGAAGATTCACGAATTCACAAAGTATTAGGTGTATCTCTTCTCTTCTTTTTTTCTATGATTATATTGACTGAATTCGAATCACTTTATTCCGTTCTTCCGTTTTTAAAAGTGATGAGTCCTTCGCGATTTTCCAATCCCGTGCAATAAATTCAAATGATATGGCGTGTGAGAAGCTACTGAAATGGTTTGTGTATCTTACAAAATATACAAATGTTTAAATTTTAATTTGGAAGACGCCAATCGTTCACGTGCATCGAGAAAAATTCACACAAAGATCGGGAGACAAGCAGTATCTATCCGACTGAAACAATTAACCGATTCACGTAATAAAATCTTGAATTTGGGAAAAAGAGGGGGGGAAGAACTCGTTGAACGAGCAAACATGTCTCATTTATCTTCCATCTGATCGCTACTAAATTCTATAAAATTTTCCAAACCACCTTTCTTAAAATCTTCGAATCTCAACGAAGATCAGCCACCCACATTCCCCCCTCAGTCCGACTGAATTTATCCTTCGCCCCGCAAACGGCGACAAGCCAAGTGTCTCCGGCGTGACAATAACGAAAGAGCATCATCGACGACTGGTCGAAAGACAAGACCTCGCCGATGTTGTATAATGAATGGATCGTTCGCACCTCGCCCACGCCAAAGCCTATCCCCCCCCCCTCCTCTCTCTCTTTCTCCGTTCCTTCTTCGCTCGCGAACAGCGCGCGATCGGCACGATCTCCTAGGAGGCAGGGGCCCGGAGAGGTCGATAATTAATTACTTTGAGCGATCGAGGGCCGTAGATCCCGCGGAGCGGACTCTCCATTGGGAGTAGTAGGCCAATTTGTCAGGGCAGTCACGCGCTTTTCTACGAAGCCACCGCTGACAATGAGTAAAAGGGCTGTCGTGGCTGATTACTATTCCGCGGGCGAGTGTAAACGCGACTCGAATCGAGCCAGGGATGGCCTCCTCCTCCTCCTCCTCCTCCATCGCCTGCCCCGCTCGCCTTCCTCTTCGACCTTTCTGACTTTGTTGACGAGCCGCGTATTAGATAATTGATGAGATTGGGACAGATTTCTGATCCAAGGGAGACGGATCACTTTCCCCTTCGACTTTGACGTTTCCTGAATAAATTTAACGCAATGCGGTTTGTTTAAGAATTCGTTGAGCAATTCTGAGGATTCCTCGTTTATTGTTCTCGAAATTATCGTTCTCGAGTCGTCGTCGCTTGCTCGAGAAACACAAATCACGGGCGCCCGATCGTAGGACAAGTAAATTAATAGCCTTTCGGTGTCCTGAAAGTGGGAATCGAGGGGACAAATTTGCCAGAATAATCGTTCACCGTGCAATCGTGGAATTAACAAGCCGGTAAAAGGGCAAGCGTGTCTCGGGTTGTAGAGATCCAGCTTCTGAATAAAGTCACGTTGTCGACGACACCGACGACACACGCCACGATTTTCGCAATATTAATCGTTGCGACCGGCTTCTCTCGTGTCGAATGCGCGATCGTGCCGATCTCGTTCTTCTTTCATCCGTCGCCGGATGCGGTGCTGTTCGAAAAATTGGAACTGAGGGAGAGAGAGGGAGAGAGAGAGAAAAGAGAAAAACGAACGTGGACAAATCGCCAATTAATTCACGGCAACTCTTGCAACCTTAAAATGGCCGCGGTCACTTCTTGCGAGAATCGATTAGCGGCGCTGTTGGACGCTCTGTACACGTGAATGTTAAAGTGGAAAGTAAAAGAAATAGAAAGAAAACACACGTTGATCCTAAGATTTCAATACCTTGTACGGCATTTTCGAAATTCTTATCCCTTTCTCATGATAAATTTTAAAATGCGTCAAGATTTCTAACTCTAAACATTAAAAATTAAAAAAATTCAACTATTTTATTACATCTCGAAAAATGTAAAAATGTAATTACTTTAATCGTGCACGAACTCAATAAAATTTCAATGCCTTATCCGGCATTTTCTTATCCCTTTCTCATTATAAATTTTAATAAAACAAACTCAACTTTCTAACTCAACTTTAAAAAATGAAAGAAATCCAACCATTTAAAAAAAATAATTACTTTAATCGTCGGCAAATCGATTAAAAAAATTCCATGGAGTCACTCTCCATCATCTCCTCGATTCGACTCGAAACAGCTTCTTAAACACCTCATCAACGGTATCCCTCCCTCTTCTCTTTTCAACCGAGCAACAACACCACCACCTGTCGATCGTCGTTCCGGCTCGATCCGTTTTTCGCCCGATTGTTCGAGGGAAAGGCGATTGTTCCAGGGACCGATGGGACTCGAGTCGAAGCATGATCGACCGTCCCACGGACCGTTTTCGGAGGCGTCACGTAGCCGGGTGGCCGTGCACCGAGAGGCCACGCCGCCCGCTGCACCTGCCAGGTCATTAGGGTACAAACGCCAGGTAGAGATCGACGACGTGGACGAAGATGAAGAGACACGCCGACCTTTCGGCTCGAAAGAGGATTGAGACCGAGTTGGGAAGAGAATGATGCCGTGCAGGAAATGGGATGCATTTTGAGGATGCGGAAGCGAAGAGTGAAGTTTTTTTTTTTTCAATTTAGTTCAGGATTAATTTCTAGAACGTTAAAAGAAGTGTTTATTTTTATCGTTATGGAAAAAGTAGTAGTATTAACGAATCGATCGAAAGGAATTCGTACTGAAAATTCTTATTGCTCGAACATATAAGAAATTAGAAGGAACAGAGAGATATCGTGCTCCTCTTATTTTCATTCACTAGTTGAGCAAATCGTTCGTTTCCTGCGTCTATACTGTTAACGAGTTCAGATGTATTTCTTTCTTCCTTTTTTTCTTTTTTTTTTTTTATATCTCGTCTCGATACAAGAATAATTTTCTCATGAGCGAGCTACTACGATAATAGAACGGAAATCAAGAAGATTATTTCTTAAGACGAATGAAAAATGGAAGTTGCCTTCATTACGTGTAATTACGCAATTTAAAGAGGGGGGGAAAAAAAATTGTATAAAAAGTCGATTACAAATTTTAAATTTATCCGCGCATTTTCAATGACGATATCGTACGATATTAATAAATAACATATCGTGACACCTATATCTATATATATCTCCATTGAATTATCGAATAATTTCTGTATAAACGACGGAACAGAAACGGATCGATATTACGTAACAATATTATATATACACGTATTTCACGATCGTGAAAATGGAAATGTATATATATAAAAGAAATGACGATAGAAAACGGAGAAACGGAACCAGGATCTACGCGGTGGTAGATCGTGCAAGAAAGAAAGAAAGAAAGAAAGAAAGAAAGAAAGAAAGAATCCGGGGAATTGCGGTTGGCTAGAGAAGAGAGGTTACTTGGGAAGAATAAGGAGAGAGGGAGAGGGAGAAGCCGCGTCGAGAAAGGACCAAGGAGGAGGTACCCGTCACGAACTGCGGGCTAATTGTCCGGGAGATTGCTCCTGCAGCCTGCTGCGCGCTGCTGTTGCTGCTGTCTGTCCTGCACGTTGTTTCCTCGACCTCGAAGCCAACCTCTGCCCGTCCTTTAAGATCTTGATCCTCTCGGGGAATCGAGTGGATCTCGCTCGGCTTGATCCCCGCTCGAGGGATCCTTATTGTTTCATCGTGAAAAATTTTTAAGATCCGATCGATCCGAATTATTGCCAGAACCGAAGGTATAAAAAACTTTTAGAATTTAAAAAATCTAGAAGAAATGATGTGCAAACGTTTTTTTTTTTTTCCTTTTCAGGATCGTGATCGATTTTGGAATAGTTAACAACAATTGGAAGGGAAGAAACGGTGATGGGTTTTCATAGGATGACGAGAGAGGCTGTAAGATAAACAAGAGGGAGTGCGAAATGAGGGGAATGATAAAGAATATGGCGTAATAAAAGCTGGGAAACAGGATTATTAGAGGTGTAATCGGTTATTATTGCGTGAGCACGTGCATCGACTAAATTATATTACACTTGACGATGCTGATATTT